AACCCTAGACCCTAAGCCCTAAAAAAGCCCTCCCGACCGGCCTCATCTCCCAAAGAGCTGGCGCCGGTCATGGGGGCCGGGTCTTCCCTGCGAACTTACTCTGTTCAGGTTTAGGGCTTAAGGCTTAAGGCTTAAGGCTTAAGGCTTAGGGTTTAGGGTTTAGGGTTTAATTAGGGTTTAGGGTTTAAGGTTTAGGTAGGGTTTAGGCTTTAATTAGGGTTTAGGGTTTAAGGTTTAGGTAGGGTTTAGGGTTTAATTAGGGTTTAGGGTTTAAGGTTTAGGGTTTAGGGTTTATAAGGTTTAGGGTTTAAGGTTTAGGGTTTAAAACTAAGTTCAGTTACAGTAAGCTCCACAAAGTTGGAAACCGGATTAAGGACAAATAGTGCTGGGATTCCCTATACAGTACTCTTAGGGATTGAGGCTATTGGGTTTCCAACTTTTGGGCTTCTACTTCTACTATAGGGTGTAAGGTTTAGGGTTTAACGTAATTTGCAAGCTTAAGGGCCTAAGGGTATTAAGATTTAGGGGTCTTCGGTTTACGGGCTTGGAGGGTCTAGGGTTTTGAGGGTTTTGGGGGTTTCGGGTTTAAGGGTCTTCCCGGGGTTTAGGTTCGCCTGATGGTTTTTTCAAGCTCCGGTGAGGGTCAGTAAGGCTGTGACGGTTTAGGAACTCATTCCGTGTGGGGTTTAGGGTTTAGGGGCTTAGGGTTTAGAGTTGTATAACTAGGAAGGGATTCTGAAGGGGGGGGGGGTATGTTATCTGTTATACGATACACGTATGATGATCATAGGAAGCTAAGGAATCAGGTGTTTGGAGTAATTATGCTTCATAAACTATAAGTAACTACTGTATATGCAGGGCTTGGGTTCAGGCTCCGGGAGATCCAAGTACGGTGTATCCAAATCCGTTGCTTAGGGTTCCGACTTACAAGCGTGGGCAAACAAGCCTAGTATAGGGGCCTTAAGAAGTATGATCGAGTTCTGGGCGTATATCATACTATAATTATAGAAAGGAACACCGAGAACCTTACTCTAATTGTTAAGGCCCCTACATTACCCCACACAAGCTTTCGGGACTGCAGCGATTTCTTTATGTTCGGGTTGATGGGCGGCTGGTGCCAAAGCAGCGCCAGGCTCGGTTGCCTACAGCAGCGGCCTTAATAATTGGAATAGGGTTTTGGACTCCTGTATAGTATATTTTGATAGGGAAACCTGAGGCAAAATGTTGGTAATTCTTGAAGCTTCTATAGTACTGCCATCCAATCTCCGGCCCCTGAGAAGCCAAAACACTCTCCTTAAGTTCCCAACCTTAAATTCAGAGGGACCCACCCCTGTTCCTGAACCCCAGGCAAACAGACTGGCCCAACCTGTAGTCTCCACTGTAGTTCCTTTTCTGGGCTACCTTGTAGGATCCGAAATATAGAATTAGCTAAACCAAGAGAGGAACTACCATGGAGACTATAATGTAGGGGCCTTAATAACTAGAATAGGGTTTTGGGGCTTATTAGAAATATAGTATAATATACCCCCGGACGCGATTCTAATTTTTATGGCCCCTATATTGGGTAGGCTTTTCAAACCTGCGCCTTCCCTAAGCCCTCGGTACTCGCCTGTCGATGATTCCACGGCTTGCGGAGCCTCACGCGGAACATCGGACAGCGAGCCACCGTCCGTTATAGGACCCTCTTTGGAGTCGGCTTAGGGTTTAGGGGTTAGGGTTTAGGGGTCTAGGGTTTAGGGCTTAGGGTGTATGGGTTTAGGGTTTAGGACTTGGGGTTTAGTTATTAGGGTTTAGGGTTTAGGGGTCTAGGGTGTAGGGTTGCTATAAAGACTCCAGAGAAGCCTTAAAGAATCCCTGAACCATACGGCATTCGATGAGATGAAGACAGCATTGATGATCAAGAAAGAAGACGGAGTCAATGTCAAGACACGAACTTCAGAAACTCAGACTCTCAGCAGAGAACGTAGCCACCAAACATAGCAAATTTCAGCGACCTTGCAACGCGAGGCCCTGAAGTCAACCTCGCAGCCCCCCCAAACCCCAGTCCCGAAACGCCCGAACTGCCTCAAACCCAACCAAAAAACACCTAAACCACTCAATTCGACATTCATTGATGGATCTGAGCGCTGAGCCCTGGACTGCAAGGAAACCCTCAGCCCCTGCAATATATCCCGAAATCCTATTTCGTAAACCATGACCCCGTGAACCCGATTGTAGAAGCCTTTGTAGAACCCGTTCTCGAAACCTCATAGAACCTCTTTTAGAAGACTGATGGAATCCTCTATATATAGAGCCTGCTTAGAAACCATAGCCCTAAACCATAAACCCCCTAAACCCTAAACCCCTAAACCCTAAACCCTCCTAAATCCTAGTCAAAGCCAAAAGAGGCCGCGGCTGTGCCAGGAACGGATCTCCGACAGAAGCCCTTTCTTGTAGTGATCCCACCTCCGGGGTTTTTTGGGTTCAGGGTTTAAGGGTTTAGGGTTTAGGGTTTAGGGGTTTAGGGTTTAGGCGGGTTTTGGGTTCCTATGAGTATAAGCGTTCCAAAAAGGGAGGGCTCTTGGGTTCTAGCCTTGGGCTTTGGTGTCTGAGAACTTACGCAATCCCCTAAACCCTAAACCCTAAACCAGGGTTCAGCGGCTTCGGGCTACGGGCCAAGGGACACAGGTCCAGGATTTGATCTACAGCTGTCCTTCAAGGTTTAGGCTTCAGGGCTTCAAGCCCTGCTGCAAAAATGACTCTAAACTTATGCGGACACTGACACTGGCACCCTAACGACAAAATCCTTTGGATAGAACCACAATAAGCAAAACCCTCATGGAACCCGTTTAGTGTCAGAGTGCAGATGGATCAGAATCGAGCTGACAATATCAGAACCGGCTGTGTATTCAGGGCCTACGACAACGGTTCAAGATTCATGACAGAGCCTAGATTTTAGGGCTCAGCTGTCGAGTCGTAGGCCCTAGGCTCGCGGCAGGCGTCAGGCGCTTCACCATCCCCGAGCTGCACCCTCGGCTCCAAGCACTCCTGTTTAGAGTTTAGGGTTTAGGGTCACGGTTTAGGGTTTAGGGTTTAGGGGTTTAGGGTTTAGGGTTTTATTAATGGCTCCTTGTACCCGAAAAATCCTATTCCATGGGATACTTGGACCCCGAGAAAAAATTGCCAAACTAAACCCTGTGCCCAAAACCCGAAACCCTCCGCATGAAACCCTGAACCCTAACCCCTAATCCCGAACCCTGAACCCCTAAACCCTAAACCCGAAACTCGAAACCCTGAACCCTAATCCCTGAGCCCTAAACCCTACACCCTAATCAATCTCTGAACCCCCAAACCCTGAAACCCTAAACCCAAATCCCGGAATCTGAAGCCCCGGGAGCACCTGTATTTCTGCACCAGCCGCCATATCAGCTGCGAGTCTGACAAGCGGGCCTGCCATCATTTTTTTCGGCTCGGGGTTCAGGGTTAGGGGTTTAGGGGGTTTAGGGTGTAGGGTTTAGGGTTTAGGGTAAAAGGTTGAGGGCTTAGGGTATAAGGTTTAGGGGTTTGGGTTTATGAGGTTTTGGTATCAGGGTTGGGTTGAGGGGAGATGACGGCCTAAGCTTGTGGGCTTAGGGGTTTAATTAGGGGTTTAAGGCCAGCCTATGTTCTCGAATCGGGGCTGACTTCTTGGTCTGAACCCTAAACCCCCCCAAGACCCAGACCCCTCAACCCCAACAAAAACCAGGAACCCTGCAATCAAGTAGTTAATAAGAACCTTAATGAAACCTCACTATCTTTGAAACCCGGAAGCCGGCCCAAAACCCTAAGCGGTTTAGGGCTTAGGGGTTTCGTAGCTTGGCGCAAGAGCCCTGTAGTTACGCAAACCGCTCAGAAAGGACGCCAGGGACAACGGCTCAGACGTCCCGGGCCCTGTGGGCACCTATGAAATCTTAGGGTATAGGGTTTAGGGTGTAGGATTTAGGGTTTAGGGTTTAGGGTTTAGGGCCCAAACAACTCCTAGCACTATTGCTGAGTTCCTGGGCGTTTTCTTGTATTACCCTTTACCCGATAACCCTCGACCCTAGACCCCTAAACCCGAAACCCTAAAACCCTAAGCCCTAAAAACCATACCCTAAACCCTAAACCCCAAACCCCATACCCTAAACCCTACACCCTAAACCCTAAACCCTACACCCTAAACCCTAAACCCTACACCCTAAACCCCAAACCCTAGACCCTCAGAGCCTTGTAGTTGCAGAACAGCCGGTGCGTGATGGTCTTGTGTGCCCTGGCCAGGACCCAGGCCAGCTCTCACTGCTGAAATTGAGGGCTTAGGGCTTAAGGTTTAGGGT